ATGGCCCTTGTGGTCTCTTCCAACTCTATAATTCTATGATTCTATTCTGCTGCTGCTCCTTACTGTTGAGGCGAGGAGGGATGAGGGAGGCAATTCATGCAATGAAGATGTGACTGGTCTTGATTCCATGGGGAAGGAAAATGATGATGCATTTGCTCTGGGAACACACTCATTTTTGCCCTGTTGTGAGCCCAGACAAGCTCCTTTGAAATGCCCCCATCCTCCCATACCTATCACTATGGAGCACCTGCTTTGACCCTTCCTGGCGTTCTGTAAGTAACAGCGTGGAGGGGAGGACACGGGACTGCATGGATGGAGCATTACCATCCGCTCCATTGATGTAGGCCTTTGGACAGTGGTTGAAGACATACAAAAATGTACAGTGAGCCCTTTGGATCTGCAGACCTCAGACCCATGAATTCAACTGTCCATGAATTTTCACACCCCATATTATTAAGTGGTGGTAACGTGAACATGGTTACGCTGAAGTCTGTGCACTCATGTTGCTGCCATTGAATAATATGGGGCACAATTATTTTATTTTTTGGCATCACGCAGAGTCCTGGAACCAAACTCTTGTGGATTTGAAGGGCCCACTGTAATTAAATTATCTGTAGAATTAACATCAATTTAAAATGTATCCATTAAAAAGGCAAGAAGAAAAAAAGTGGAGCACATGATGGGAAGTTCATTCCTTATATTTTAAAAAAAAAACACATACCTGTCAAAATAAAACAGTTTTGATGTGCTGATGTAAGGACAACAAAGAGAGGGCCAGGCTAGCCTTCCTAGGAAGGGAATTCCAGATTCTGGGAGCAGCCAGAGAAAGGAGACCTTCTCATATGTTCCCACCTGGTATGCCCAGGGAGAGTGGTGGACTTCACAGAAAGGCCGCTCACAAAGATTCCAGAATGTGGGCAGGCTGTGAGGGTGCAGTTGTTTAGGGGTGACACAGTCATAACCAGCACTTGTAATACAGGATTTTAAAAAAATATGGACCACACAACAAACAGTTGCTCTGATCTCTCTGTTCAACGTGGCTCATGTTGATGATTGCTGATTATTTTCATGCTGTTGCAGGTGTGTATGCCTGTCTTTTCTTCTTTCCTTAAGACTCGTGATAGAAATATCTTCCTGTCACTTTCCTTTCTTCATGCAGAATGCCGTGAACGTGCCCAGGGACTTTGAAGGCTGCAGCATTCTACGCAAGTACTTTGGGCAACTGCACTACCTGCAGAGCCGCATCCCCATGGGGGCTGAGCATGAGGCTGCTGTTCCCATCACCTGGTAAGAGGGCCAGAAGTGGAAGGAAGGGCTGGCAGGAGGGAAGAACAGGGACAGCTTGTGACTCCAGAGCCCTTACAGCTGTTCCCAAGGCCACAGAATTGGGTTTGGGCTTCCTTGGTCCCCACTCTGGGTGGGGAATACTGTATTGGGTGCTGAAAACACACAAGAGTGATGCATCTTTTGCACAGCTACATGACAGATCAGAAGGGTTGTACACTACTGAATGGCAGAGGGCATGACTTAGTATAAAAGAGGAAGGAGAGGAAGTGAAATGTCAATTG